CTGACTTCAGTAGATCTCTTATCATAACATAGCTTCATGGAATCAGCAGTACGTTTTCAAGTTTGAACGCACCTGATGGCGAATATCATCAATCCTTTCAGATAACACTTTCACGAACTCTGACACATTTTCAGGCATTTCTTCATAAGGTGGGCGTCCCGTTATCAGATCCACTGGCAACCGAAGTTCAAGACCAAACATCAGCTTTGCTGGAGTGTATCCAGTGGCGTCATGCTCTGCTGTCCTATAGGCCATCAACAGTGGAGGGAGTAAGACATCCCAGTCATTTTGGCGGCTATTAAAAAACTTTGCCAATTCCTGAGCAAGTGTCCAGTTGTACTTTTCTACCATCCCATCAGACTGTGGGTGAAGTGACGTTGTCCTGGTCTTTCGTATGCCAAACAACTTGTATCATTCATGGAACACAGCTGATTCAAAGTTACGGCCTTGATCCGAATGCAGTTCGTATGGTATACCAAATCTGAAGAAGAAATCGCTGATTGCCGAAGGTACATTTGTAGCTTTCTGATTTGGTATTGCATATGTCTCAGGCCACTTGGTGAAATAATCCCTCACCACACAAACTTACTCTTTCCAGCACAAGTTTGGGGCAACAGCTACTCTTTCCATTGGTGTGCCAACTTAATATAACTTCATTTGAGCACGTCCCTTATGCTTGGGTCCCCCTTTTAGCACAACATGTACTGTAGGTCCTGCACCATTCTTCCACGTCTTGCCTCATACCTATCTAGTAAAATCTCTGTTGTAGGTGACTCAATGTCTTCTTAACCCCTAGATGCCCTCCTGTTAAACTATCATTGGATTGATGCGGCACAAATTCCTGTAACTTTCTCGGTATAACTGTTTGCCAGGTCGTCACTTTCCCATCTCCGGACAAGAATACCATCTTCAAGCTTCAACTGGTCTCACTGTGCCCAATAGTTCTTTGTCACAGGGCTTAAGCTAGACACCTTCTCCCAAGCAGGGTGCAAAGCACTTGCTTGTAGAAAATCAATTATTGGCGATTCACACACTTTACTTACGGTGCCTACTGTTCGTTTGACTCAATTATCTCTCTTCAATTTATCTCCGGCTTATATACTAAAAAAGAGGGCGTCTAGCAAACGCTGGGACACGCGTGAGGTTCCCCGATAAGTCACGATCCTTCTAGAAATTCTAGCGCGCATGATCTCAGCGTCGCGTGACTTCCGCTGTCGTAACAAAAGCTTGGCATAAACAACAAAAAAATGCATGCACTACATGCCAATACAACAGTTGCACGCTCTAAATTTGAGTTTTAAAATAGCAAATACAGGGGGGGATTACATGCCCTTAGTTAGAAATATCTTTTTAGAAGTATAGAATTTATACTTGCATAGAAAGACATTACTTTCTTGCATGTTTTATTACCACGTACCACCAATAATTTTATTTCTTAAACTTCGAACGTTTACTCCTAATGACATTGCATCACTTGCGCGTCAAATATTTGGCTAGTATTGTCAATATCGCTCAGAGGTGAGAACGGTTGGATGCTATACTTAACGTTTCATCTGTTTTATGGTATCAAGGTTTCCAATGTCACCAAGACATGTAGCAAATATCACATTACTTCCACGTTTAGTTTAGAAAGATGAACAGTTTTATCTTGCCTCAAATTTACAACAAAGAAATTAACAAAACACGAATATACAGTTTCATGTGTAGGCGTTTAGTTTCTAGTATAAAGTAGTTCTGGCTTGTAGCGACCTTAAATATTTGCTAGTTTAGCCTAGTTACTGCATTTTTTGGGGTTATAACTTCTTATGCATTTTTGAATTCTCTTACGAGAGATGTTGCAGGAGACGTAATTTGGTTTTTACAATATCATAAATCACGATAGTGGTTCATGATAGGGATCGCACAGGAATTTGCTCAAACCTCTAATAGAACATTCGGGCAAAAAACACCTTACAATGCAGATTTATTCCTGAAACAACACTCAAAACCTTCCTTTTCAATAGTTAAGACCACTCAAACATAATAAGCAAATAAAATAAGCCATTTAGTTTCTAAAGTGCCTCTAAGAAACCAGCCACCTCATCTTTAGAGGATACAAAGATCAACACCTACATGGATGGTCCTTGCATTCATAGAGAAAGCAACTCTTTAGATTATTCGAAGATCCATGAAAAAAAAAACACTTTCCTATCCTATCTTTACCAGCCAACTGCTATCTAAATGTTCCTCTGCTCCAGGTGAGCGTTTGTTTAGCATTAGAGGCAAAACCCTCAGATCTGATCGCTGCCGCCTCATTGACAAGACATCTGGGAGACTGATGTTCGTAAAGAACAATGGATAGTTGTAATATCTATATGTCTTTTTTAAAACATATTTTTTGTTCTAAAACTTTGTTATTGCATTTTGAAAAATAAAAGTATGGAAATGTTATTGTTTTTTTAATTTTGTTTGTTTCAGTTTCTAAAAAGTTTGTTTCATGAAATAAAAGTATTGAAATCTTATCATCTGTTGTTTTATCATTATTGCATATCATCTGACAAAAATATTCACGAATACATTCCTATATATTTGTATTTGCATTTGAATACTTAGCATTTTTCATGTATTCGTTTTCATATTTGTATTCATAAAAATATGACTTATTTGTATTTCTGCTCGATTACTGACCTCCTGTATTCGCGCCATCTCTGGTTCTGAGTGGCTGCTTTGGTACTCGATACGTGTTAAACGTGTGTATGTATGAAACCTCAGGCACAAAGCCACCTGGCTCAATAGATAAGTACTTTAAGATGTTTGTTTGTTTGTTATAGATTCCGCACAAAGCCACACGAGGGCTATCTGCGCTAGCTGTCCCTAATTTAGCAGTGTAAAACTAGAGG